ATCCTGCTATATACATGTATACATACATGCATGCAGGCAAAATCTCATATACATAAAATTTAAAATAAAAATTGAAAAGTGATCGGGCAGTGGTGGTACACACCATTAATCCCAGCATTTAGGAGGTGGGACAGGGGGCTCTCTGTGAGTTCAATGCCAGCCTGGTTTACAAAGTGAATTCCAGGACAGCCAGGGCTGTTACCCTGTCTCAAAAAATGAAGAAAAACAAAAAAAATTTTTGTTATTTTGTCTTTTTCTTTTTTTGTTCTGGAGCTGAGGACCAAACCCAGGGCCTTGTGCTTGCTAGGCAAGTGCTCTACCACTGAGCTAAATCCCCATCCTCCCCCCTCCCCCAATTTTTTTTAAAGTGGTTCTTTTTAGGCATTAGAGCTGACAGCAGAGCTGTGGTGCACAAACTAGGCAAATCAGCCCCAGCCTGTGATATGCTTGCTAACCAAGTTCCTCAACCATATCTAAACCTAAGGCCAGTATACCACTGCGCATTAGGTTTTGTTTTCCTCTTGTGAACACTGCAAGGTCTTGAGCTAGATCTTTTGAGGGTTGATGTGGCAAAGGTGTGAGACCCTAACAAGCCTTAAGGGTGCAATGGATACAGACTTAAAATGTCTCTAATAACCTCTTCCCATGTTACCAAATGAAGATATTTGACTGAGGCAGGTTTTCCTTTAACTCTGTCAACATAAAGCATAGCTCTTGCTTCACAGGAATTAAGTTTATTCTGAACCAAATACGAACAGCCAGGCTTGGCAACACAAATTTGAGCTGCCCTGAACGATGTGAATGACATCTTTTTGTGGAAGAGGTTGCAGAACAAAAGCTATAAAGCAGTGCCTTTCCAAATACGTTGGTGGAGAAATCAGTCGGCAGGTGCTATAGGTTTTAGATGTTGTCTAATGACATTCTTAAGCTTAAGTAGTGGTCTGTTAATACATTCCAAAGGTTTTAGCTGATAGTCTAAGAGGATGTTAAGTCTAAAGGTTGGTGATGGCTATTGAGAGGACTAAAGAACAATTAAGAACTAACCAGTTAGTCAGTATGTAGAATCTCTAACATGTACCTGGCTTTTCCAGGGAACTTGAGTTTACTGTTTTTATGTCTTGTTCTTTTCTGATTTTTGTGTCCGTCCCCCCCTCCCCCCGTCCCCCCCATGGGGTTTCTCTATGTAGCTTTGAGCCTGTCCTGGAACTCGCTCTATAGACTAGGCTGGCCTTGAACTCACAGAGATCCACCTGCCTCTGCCTCTAGAGTGCTGGGATTAAAGGCGTGTGTCAACATGCCCAGCAGGTTTTATGCTCTTTCCTTGATTTTTCTTATTTGCTGGTTTTCAGTGTTTTCTATTTGTGAATTGAGGTAAGGAGTGGAATAGCAAGTACTCCTTTGTGAGAGTCTCCCAGTGGGTTTCTCTTTGTCATGTTCCCATGTTATGATGAAAACTACATGGAAAGAAGGATGTTAGAAAAGTGGCCCTGTGGGTAAAGTGCCTACTGCTCAAGCATGAGGACCTGAGTTTGAATCCTTAGCACCCACATGAGAAAGCCAAGTGTGTGCCTGTGGCCTTAGTGCAGGGAATAGAGATGGCTGGCCAGCCAGTCTAGGTAGTCAGTGAATACTAGCTTCAGTAAGAGAGACCTTGACTCCAAAGATGAGCTAGAGAGCTATTGAGAAAGACTTGATGTTGATCTCCAGGTCCACCTTAGTGTTGATCTTAAGGAGCTGTCCGCATGGGCTTCTTGATTAGACTAGGCCATCTGGACAGAGAGCTCCAGCGATTCCCCTATCTATACCTTCCCAGCACTGGATTATAGGTGTGTGCCACCACACCCGGCTTTTTCTGAGTGTGGAAATGGCAAAACTTTACCAACTGAGCTATCTTTCCATCCCAGCATGTCACTCTTTATGGATTCTGCCATTGTTACTAGGTGCTGGGTACTCTGATAAGCCATGGCCTCAACTACATCTCTGCTTCACCGTCCCTCTCAACAGGGGTTCTGTTTCTGCTGCTCACTTGTGACTTTGGCACACAGCCCCACAGTTGCAGTGGTTTGGATGGTGACTCTTTGGATCTGTGGAACTATTTGTCTTGGCGGTCCCTCCTCCTTTTTCCCTTCTCCAGATCTGCTGCAAATTACGTATAAATGCTACACATCCATGGGCATGCTTTTATGGTTCCTTCAGGGTAGAGATGTCTTTTTAAGTGGAATTTAAAATTTTTCTGTTGGTTGCCAGATGTAGTGGGTCACACCTGTAGTCTTAGCACTTAGAAAGATGTGGTAAGAGGATTTGGGGCCAGCTTTAGGTTACAGTGAGACGTTGTTTCAGAAGACCATATTTAAAAAAATTGTTGGCTTATTAGAAAGTCTGATCACATTCTTACTTTATTACAGATAGGTGACCTTCAACTTCACAAACTGGATGAACTGGATTGCTTAATAAAAGGAATTTTGTACATTGACTCAGTTGGATTCAATGGACGGTCACAATGCTATTATTTTGAAAATCCTGCTGATTCTGAAAAATGTCAGAAGTTGCCATTTGATTTGAAAAATCCATACCCTCTGCTTCTGGTGAACATCGGCTCAGGAGTTAGCATCTTAGCAGTGTATTCCAAAGATAATTATAAGAGGGTCACAGGCACCAGGTAAATCCTTCATATAAGTCATTGTTTATACTTGATACAGGTTTACTGAATTCTCAGGTATCACAGAACTATACCTATAGCATCCATTAAAATTTTGTGAAAGATTTAAATTTTTGACACTGTGCAAGCACATGTTGCTTCTCTTTAAACGTTCTGACATCATGAGCTCTTTTAATCTCTTTTGCTTAGGATTTTTGTTATCATTGTTTCATTAAGCGTTGCCTCAACAGACTCATTGCATCCATAGTTTATGGTGTGCATATATAAAGTAGCTGAAGTTAACCAGGTAGACCTTTGGAAGAGAAATCCTTTCTTTGAAACCTGTAGACTTTGTATATATTCATGCATACATGCTTTAGCATGTGCATACATGCATTTATACCAGAAGATGGTATAAGGTGACCAGGGGATGCCATAGGGCAAGGGATATTGATCTTCATGGGATGGTGTGTGTGATAGTTTGAATGAGAGTGGCCTCCATAGACTCATATGTTTTAATACTTGGCCCTCAGTTGGTGGAAATGTTTGGGAAGAATTAGGAGTTGTAGCCTTGTTAAAGGAGGTGTGTTACTGGGCGTGGGCATTAAGGTTTCAAAAACCCCAGCATTCCCAAGTTTCTGTCTCATGGTTGTGTTTCAAGATGTGAGCTCTCAGCTACTGCTCCAGTATCAAAGCTGCCTATCTGCTTTCATGCTCCCCACCATGATGGTCATGGACTCTTGATTATCAGCCCCCAGTAAATGCTTCTAAAAGTTGTCTTGGTCATGGTGTCTTACCACAGCAATAGAAAAGTAACTAGGACAGAAGCTGGTACCAAGGGATGGGCTGGGCTATTGGTGTGACAGACTTGTGGTATGTGGATTTTGGATTAGGAAAGTGGTTAAATGCTGTAAGCAGGGCTGAATAGGGCCAACCTAGTAAGAGCTTGGAAGACTAGTTCAGAGAGCAGTGTTGACTATGGATGCCCAACTCAAGAGGTTTCAGAGAGGGAGTCAGTCAGGTGGTGGCGGCGCATGCCTTTAATCCCAGCACTCAGGAGCCAGAGGCAGGCAGATCTCTTGAGTTCAAGACCAGCCTGGTCTACAGAGCTCCAGGCAGTCAGAACTATATAAGTGGTCCTCAACCTTCCTAATGCTGTCTGACCCTTGAGTACAGTTCCTCATGTTGTAGTGACTCCTGACCATAACATTATTTTCTCTGCTAATTTTGCTACTGTTAGGAATCGTAATGTAAATATCTGTGTTTTTCCATGGTGTTAGGTGACCCTTGTTAAAGAGTTATTTGACTCTTAAAGGGGTTACAACCCACAGGTTGAGAAATGCTGATATAGAGAGACCCTGTTTCAAACAAACAAAAAACCAAACAAAAAATGTTTCAGAGGAGAACAATATTAGCAGCTGGGCTAGAGATCATTCTTGTGATATTTTGGCATGAATGTGGCTGCTTTCTGCTTTTGTCCTAAAAAGCTGTCTGAGGCAAAATTGAAAAATAATGGCTTAATTTTCTGAGGAGATTTCAAGACAGCCTAATACTATGTCATGTGGTTATTAGCAATAGCTGTTATGCAGATCTAGAGTGCAAAAGAATAAGGGAACAAAAACATACAAAATGCACAGTTTGAAGTGGAAAAATAGCATTAGGAGATTTAATGTTGGAACCAAGGCCTCTGTTGAAAGATAAGGTGAGACCTGGTGGTAACTAAAATAAAAGGGATGGGTGCCCTCAGGGCAAGACTGCCCAGCTAAGCTTTCAACTTGTAAGAAGGAAATACCTGAGAAATTTTCTGCTCAAAACAAACACCAGCATCAAGAACAAAAAACCAACAACAAAGGAAAGCTGTTGCAAATGTAATTCAAGCCGGCAGCCCAAATGGGTGGAGTTATCCACTTGGTTCTGGCTTTAGACTCAAGAAGAATATATAAGTAAAGTGGTTGTGGAGTCTTCATGATTAAGGGAAACCACTTGAGGCCAGGCATGCGTCAGGGAGTAGGGATATGGAGGCCCTGAAAGGCCATTTTGTGAAGCTGTGAAGGTGAAACCTGGATTGCCTTGGAGATCCCAAGATGTTGGAGATGCCAGAGCCATGGGATACCTGCCAAGGAGGGCTACAGACAGGCTGTGGAACCAGCCCAAGAGAGAGAAGTGTGTAAAAGGGGAGAGCCATCTAAGTCCTTTGTCATCAGACAGAGATAGTGGATTTGGAGTTTGCCCTGCTGTTTTTCAATCTTGGTTTGGTCCAGTATTTCCTCACTATGCCCCCTTTCTTCCATTTGGAATGGTAATACATATTCTGTGCATTGTATGTTGCGGGTATGTGCTATGCTTTTTTTGGCTTTTGCTTTTCATGGGGTTTTGTTATTCGATTGCCCTTGAATCTTGGAAGAGACATGGATGGACTTCGAAATAGTATTGAGATTGAAATACTATGGGGACTTTTGGAGGGGGACTAAGTGCATTTTGCATTATGATATAGCTACAAGCCTATGGGGACCAGGGTAGAATGAGAATGCCTTCTCATAGGCTCATATATTTGAATGCTTGATCCCCAGTTGATGGCAATGTTTGGGAAGGATTAAGAAGGGTGGCCTCATTGTAGGAGATTTGTTACAGGGGGTGGGCTTTGAGGTTTCAGAAACCCAAGCCATTTCCAGTTAGCTCTTTCTGCCTCATGGTTGTGTCTCAGGATGTGAGCTCTCAGCTACTGCTTCAGTGCCTACCTACCTGCTGCCATACTCTGCCATGATGATCATGGACCCTTAGCACTGAAACTGTATGCCCCAAATAAGCTTGTTTCTTCTATAGGTTGTCTTGGTCATGGTATCTTACCACGGCAATAGAAAAATAACAGACAGTATGGATCTAGAAGTTGAGGTAGTATAACTGGAAAAATGATTTGAAAACGGAGGGTTGGAGAAAGAAGAGAATGAATATTTTGGCTAAGGTTCAAAGATTGAGGGAAAAAAGGAACTGAGGATTTGAATAACTCTTTACCTAATAGTATTAGCTAACAAATGAGCGTAGTTTGGAGAAGAAAGTGATTTCAATAGAGGAGTCTGGTGGGTTAGAGTGACAGGTGTTTGAATGACGTCAGAGGTCATTCTGCACTTGGAGACAGAAGGTAGGTGCCAACATGATGTTGGGTATGTTGGCCTTACTTATGTGTACCTGAGGCTTTTCATACTCTGCAAGAGTAGACTGTACTGGGAATGTGTACGGGGAGATGGGCTATATATATTTTCTACTTTGTTAGCTCGCGTGGATAGATGCATTTTGTGTTTATGAGGCACTTATATTTATCTTCTTGTAAACTTACTGGTATCATGCATGGTTTAATTGGGGCAAGAGTAGACTGATACATGAATATCATTTTGGGGTTCATAAGTCTTAACATCTCATTCCTGTGTTTTAAAAATACTACATTGTTTGCTTTTAATCATAGTCTTGGAGGAGGAACTTTCTTTGGTCTCTGCTGTCTTCTTACTGGCTGTAGCACTTTTGAAGAAGCTCTTGAAATGGCATCTCGTGGGGATAGCACCAAAGTGGACAAATTAGTTCGAGACATTTATGGAGGAGACTATGAAAGGTTTGGATTGCCAGGCTGGGCTGTGGCTTCAAGGTAAGGGAATATGTACCTAGTAAGAAACATGGGACTAAAATCCTATTAGGTATATGTTTTATATTAAACAGTTTCATTGATATGCAATGTATAAAGTTATCTGTATTTAATTTGGGGCTGAAGAGGTAGTTCAGCTAATAGAATATGTACTAGTGTGTATGATCTCCAGCACTGTATAAACTGGGTATGTACATGCCTATCATCCCAGTCCTGGGATGGAGACAGGAGGATCAGGAGTTCTAGATCATTCTCTGCTTCATAGTGAATTAGAGGCTAGTCTGGTATACATAAGCACTTGTCTTTGAAAAAAAATATGTAATTTAGTGGTTTGTTTTATATTTACAGAATTTTATAGCTATTACTATAATTCAATTTCAGAATATTTTCATCTTTTTAGAAAGAAACCTTGCAGCCTTTAGCTGTCACTTTTCCATTTTACTCCTTATCCTTCCCAAAGCTGCTTTTTTCCCCTGTCTCTATGGATTTGGTTATTCTGAACATTTCATATATATATATATATAGTATCATATAGTATGATCTGTCATGACAAGGTTCATGTCACTTAGTGCAATGTTTACAGAATTATTTCTTTTTATTGTTGAGTGATCTATTATGTGAATATACCATATTTATGTATTTATTAGTTAATAGACATTGGATGTTCCCGTTTTTTTCTGGCTGTCATGAATAGTGCTGAAGACCTGTGAACTTGTCTTTGTATGGACATTTACTTTTTTTTTTATTTTATTTTGTTTGTTTGTTTGATTCAGGGTTTCTCTATGTAGTCCTAGCTCTCCTGGAACTCACTCTGTAGACCAGGCAGGCCTTGAACTCGAGAACCGTCTGCCTCTGCCTCTGCCTCCCAAGTTAAAGGCCTGTGCTATTATAACCTGCTTTAATTTTCTTATTTCTACCTAGGATTGAAATTGGTATGCTGCATGGTAACCTTAGTCTTTTGAGGGAACTACTAGACTATCCAATGTGACCATACCATTTTACATCCCCAGCATCTTAAGAGAGATTGATTTATTCTACATTTTTGTCTTTTTATTTAGGACTCGCCCCCACCCACCCCTTTTTATAAACTGCTTTAGTAATTTCATTTTCCCTATGCAGATGGTTAAAACTGTATTATTGACACTGGGCACAAAGGCAGCCTGTGGTTCGAAGCTGGCATAGCGGCAAGGTATAAGGAAAAAGAGAACCATGGGAATCCATCCCAGTGTCAGTTGCCTGGAAAAATAGCAGAAGTCATACATAAGCAGAATTCATCCTGATGGTCATTGAGAGTAGAGGACTCCCACAAAAGGATACACAGACAGTCCCTCCACTGTAGCTTCCTTCAGTTTTCTCCTAATGTCTCTCATCTACTCCCTGAATTTTCCATTCATCTCTACATCTGGGCCTTTGCTTTTCCTTCCTTTGGTGGAGCTATGTCTCCCCTCTGCAGAGGCCAGAATTTGTAATCCTCTCTGTATCAGCTTCCTGACTGTTGGAAATAACAGGGATATGCCACCAGGCCGCGGCTCATTGTAATCTTGAGTTTTGTCCTTCTGTTTATCATTTAAGGAATATGTCTGTTGAAGCCTTTTGCTAATTAAAATTATTTTTTCTGTTTATTGAGCTTCAAGAATTTTTTGTTTGTTTTTTGTTTTTGAGTCCTGGCTGTCCTAGAACTTACTTTGTATTGTAGACCAGGTTGGCCTCAAAGTCACAGAGATCTGCCTGCCTCTGCTTTGCCACTACTGACCGGCTGAGCTTCAAATATTCTTTACATGTTATAGATAAAAGTTCTTTATTGTGTGTGTGTGTATGTGTGTGTGTGTGTATACACATATAACATACACATATATACAGATATATATACACACACACACACACGTATAATTGATACACCCCTCCCCCTTTTTTCTTTTCACTTCCTTGATGGTGTTTGCAGTACATACCTAACGTTTATTTGAGGTGGGGGTAAGGGAGGCGGGCAAGGTCTCCCGTATCTCAGACTGGCCTTGACCTAGTTATGTCCTGGCTTTTTGCCTCTACCTACTGCATACTGGGATTACAGGTCTGTGCCAATACATCCAGATTATTTAGTGCTGGGGATCATGTGTAGGGCCCCATTCATGCTAGGTAAACACTCTACCAATTGAGGCTACACTTACAGCCTTCATTTTGTTTTTTTGAGACTGAGTTTCAATGTATGGTCCTGGCTGGCCTCAGATTTTTATTCCTCTTCCTGCTTTTGCCCCCGGAGTGCTGGGATTATAGGTGAGTACTATCAAACCCTGCCAGAAGCCTCTTACTTATCTCTTGTGCTTTGTGCTTTTTTTTTTTTTTTTTTTTTTAAGTGTCATTTGCCTCATCCAAGATTGTAAAGATCAGCTTCTAAGAGTTTTATAGTTTGGGCTTTGGCATTTATGTCTATGGCCCATTCTGTGTTAGCTTTTCTGTATGGTACATGATAGAGCTCCATAGTCTCTTTTGCATGGTGTTTTTCTCTTGTTCTAGCTGACCCATCTGCTGAAGACTGTTCTTTCCCTATTCTTTGGAGTCCTTTGTCACAATCAGTTGACTCTGGATGTTTCAGTTTATTTCTGGATTCTTAACTTCCTTCTATTCTGTATATTTGTCTTTAGAACAGTGCCACATTCCCTTGTTTATGTCTGCAGCCTTGTACTAAGTTTTTAAGGGAGAAGTGGTAAACATACAGGACACAGCCCTCTAACTTGTTCTTCCTTTCCAAGATTATTTTGAATTCTTTGACTTCCTATATGAATTTTAGGATCAACTTGACAATGTCTGCAAAGAAGACAGCTGGGAGTTTGATAGGAACAGTGTTGAATCTATTTACCTGTTTCAGGAGTATTGCCAACTTTTATTTTTAATTATTTTAAAATTTTATATGTGTGTTTCTCTTGGATGTATGTATGTGTACCCAGGGTATGTCTGGTGGTCATGAAGGTCAGAAGAGGATATCAGTCTGGAAATACAGACCATCGTGAGCCATGTATGGGTGCTTGGAATTGAACCTGGGTCTTTGCAAGTGCTCTTAACCACTGAGCTATCTCTGTAGACCTAAGTATTGCCAACTTAACACTGTAAAGTCTTTAGTTCAAGAAGATGGGCTTCTTTCCATTTATTTAGGTGGCGGTTGTCTTTCAACTGCAAAAGATTTCAGTACACAAGCATTCTGTTTCTTTTGTTAAGTGTATTTCTCTTTAATTCTCTGTAGATGGGCTGGAGAGATGGCTCAGAGGTTAAGAGCACTGACTCCGTTGGTCCTGAGTTCGATTTCCAGCAACCACATGGTGGCTCACAACCATCTGTAATGAGATCTGGTGCCCTCTTCTGGCCTGCAGACATACATGCAGGCAGAACATTGCATGCATAATTAATAAATAAATCTTTAAAAAAAAAGTACACACTTTAGGGTTTGGTGGGCTTTGTTTTTGTTTTTTTAATTCTCTGCAGAATATGGAAGTCTTTTCTTCCTCCTCTTCCTCTTGCTGTTTTTGAGACAGGATTTCACTGTGAAGGTCAGGTCTGCCTTGGTCTCTCAGGGGCTGAGATGCTGGCCTGTGCTACTATGCTCAGCTTGGGACTTGCTTAATTTTGTTTGTTGTAATTTTTTAAAATAATACTTTTATGTGTATGAGTATTTTGCCTGAATGTATGTCTGTACACCATGAGCGTTCCAGGTACTCATAGAGACCAGAAGAAGGCATCAGATTCCCTGGGACCGAAGTTAGAGACTGACAGATGGTTATGAGCTGACATGTGGGTTCTGGGAATTGGTCCTCTGGAAGGACAGCCAGTGCTCCTAACCATTGGGCCATCTTTCTAGCCCCCTTGGGGATGTAATTTTTGTTTTTGTGTTAGAGCACATGTGTGTTGTTTTGTTTTTGAAATAGGTCTCACTATGTAACCCTGACTGGCCTTGAACTCTTAGAGATCTAACTTGCCTTGCCTCTTAAGTGCTGGTATTAGAGGTGTGAGTTTTCATGCACAGAAGGGCACTTGGGTTTTAATAATAGAAAAAGCATTCATGTGCAAGTATTTGCTGAGTAAATCATGTAAATTCTGTTTTGTTTGTAGCGTTTGATCACAGTTCATCACTTTTTTATTCTTGGGTTTGGGTCACAGTTACTAATGTAGCACTTCTGCTGGTCAATAAATTTGAAGCTTTTTATTTACCTTCTAGGGCAGCCTGGAACTTCAGTAGCTCACTGTGGGACTCAGCTATTTTTGTACTTTGTGCTGATAAAATGAAGTTTCTATGATAGATGTGACTGGACTATCTAAGTGGAACAGTTGCACAGTAGGGATGACCTGCCGATAAGAGAGGTCTTCCTGGATGGAAGTCTAGTGGCAGATCAGGTAGTGTTGCTTCTCAGTGGATCTGCAGGATGCTGCTCGGATAGTCAACTATCTGGTACCAAAGTTGGATTTCAGTAGAAGACAGGGCATGTTACCTGTTCATTTAGAGCGCTTTGTGGACTTTTGTTTGAAGCTGAGCTCTCTTCAGTAGATGCTTCTATCATTCTGTAATAAAAAATGGAAAGGCTTATTGTAAAGTCATTTTGTCATAGTAATGTAAAATTGAAGTTCTCTTGGACTGTGTTGCCTTTGTTTCAGCAATGAATTTTTTTCCTCTACCACAGTTTTGGAAACATGATGAGCAAGGAGAAGAGAGAGTCTGCCAGTAAGGAGGACCTTGCCAGAGCAACTTTGATCACCATCACCAACAACATTGGCTCCATAGCAAGAATGTGTGCCCTTAATGAAGTAAGGGAACATGAGATTGTTCTGTTACTCATGGAAATGTTGGAAATGTTGGAAATGGAAAGGGGAAATGTTGACTTTCCTAAATGCGTCCCCCCTCAGCCTTACACAGTGTCTGTCTTCTTACAGTAGTGCCCAAATATAGTTACATGGGGAAGACTTTAAATATGAACTTTACACTCTTGAGGAACAGATTCATCTTCATTGACGCCCCCCGCCCCCCATCTTTTCTCTTCTTGAAGAGGAGTGCTCTTTACTGCTGGGAGCAAATGGCTTCTGAGGAAAAAGTAGAAGGGGTTCAGAAAGGAGGCCAGAGTTGAGCTGGGGGATGCAATGAATCGTGGGTAACAATGCTGAATCTAGATGCTGTGTTTATTGGGTGCTGTTGAGGTGTGGAAAGGAATTCACAGGAAGCCACTGACGCTGGGAGAAGACTGAGCGGTCAGAGGAAGGCCCACCTTGGTTCCCTCCACCTCAGCAGAGCTGTCTTCGTGCTTTCAGCTTCTTTACAGTGCTGCCTTGTAGCATTCAGGTCAAGCAGCATTGTACAGGGCTATGAAAGAACCAAGAATGGGCTGCCCTTAGGAAGGAGTATCTAGGATCCAGTTGGTGCAGCGTTATGGCTTGTCCCTATTGACACACTTTGGTTTAAAGTTACTCTTCAAAAATATAGACATGTACCTTAAAAGGAGACTTCGAGGCCCAAAGGATTTGCCTAAATTTTGATTTAGAAGATACTATATACCAGATTTTAAAAAATACTTCATTTGAGTAACATTATTTTTTCTTTTTATCACGTACTTTTTCTTGTGCTTAAGTATTTTAAAAATTAATTTAGTTGATGTACATACATTATGTTTTTAACCTGAAATGTATGGTTTGTAGCTGAATTTTGTGTATGTAAGTGCATGTGTGTACTTGCGCAAGTGTGAAGGTCAGAGGACAACTTAGGGTGTTCCTCAGGTTCTGTCCACCATGGTTTTTGTTTGTTTTGTTTTGTTTTTAACTGGCTATCAAGACCAGGCTGTCTCTAGATCTGGCTGCCTCTGCCTCCCTAGTGCTGGGATTAAAGTTGTGTGCTACTATGGCTGGCTCACCTTAATTTTTGAGACAAGGTTGAAACTTGTTAATTAGCCTAGGGTGTCTGGCCAGTGAGTCCTTGGGATCTGACTGTCTCTGCCTCCCTAGTGCTGGGATTATAAACTTGCCATTGCCCCTGCTTTCTTAGGTGGATTCTGGGGAACTCAACTCAGCTCCTCACACTTGCATGGCAAACACTCTACTGACTAAGCTACCTGCCTCGGTCACGGCTGTATATTTGATCAGATTCTTATTTTGTCATAAATTATTCAAATAGAGCTGGGCCTTTGGTTGTTTTGGAAGTGGTGACTGGTAAGTATTTTGAAGTTTGAACTTGTTCTTTGGTTGTTTCATTCTTGATACAGGGCTGACTTGGGGGTGACTGTTCTGATCATCCTGCATTGTGATTATACTTACGGATCCTGGTAGAGATTGCTGAGGAGCTTTGCACAGGGATGTCCCTCTTGTGAATCTTTAGCATTGATGGCTGGACAGCTTTACTGAATGCAAGGGTGGAATTTCTGTTAGACAGCTCTGAGACTGCTTCCTTGGTTCACAGTTGAAGCTGAACTGCTGTTAGCTGTCACATACCTTGTATAATTTGCTTCTCTGTGTCAAGCCCTCTTTTGGGTTAGTTATTTTCTTCTTGACCAGATACCTGACCAAAGGACCTTAGGAGCAGGATTGATGTTGGCTCCCAGATTGAGAGTCTGTCTGGTAGGGAAGGCGTGGTTGTAGGGGTGACCTGTGTGGAGTGGGGCTGCTCATTTACATCTGGATATGCCAGGAGACAGATGAAGGCTGCTTCAGCTGACGTTTCAGTCTGTAGGATGGTGTTGCCCACACTCAAGGCAAGTCTTTTCTTAATTAGTCCTCTGGAAATGCCCTTGTAGACCAAAGGTGTGCCTCACTAATGCTTCCTAATCCAGTTATGCTGACAATTAGTATTGCCCATCTGGAGGTTATCCCTTGTCAACTTGTCGCCCAAGCACCTCACTTTAAATCTAACATTCCACCCCTTACCCTTAATGTCTTTTTTTCCTCTCGTGTTCATCTGAGTGTCAGCAGAGTCTTCCTTTCACATTACATATGCTCCTTATTGTCAACAATTTTGTCTTCCTCAGACCCCCTCCCTTCTTTTCCCCATATCCCCCATCTACCACATGTCTTTTTTTTAATTGTTGTTGTTTGTGGCCCACTGCATTTACTCAGAGTTGCTTGCATGAATAGGGCCTTATTTACTTGAGTACGGCAGCTTGGTTCTGAAGCTGGGCGTGGAGAACCATGCCTTTAATCCTAGTACTCAGGTGGCAGAGGTAGGTAGGCAGATGGCTCGTCTACAGTGTGATTTCCAGGCCAGCTGAGGCTACATAATGGGAATCTGTATCAGAAACAAAGCAGAACAAAGTTGGTTCTGAGGCTTCCCTCATAATGGTGAGGTTCTATCAAATCAAAATGTAGAGTACAGTTTCCAGTATAATGAGGCAGAATAAACATTTCCATTCTATAGTGGAGGTACAGGCGCATAGCAGGGAAATATTGGACTATGTAACAGAATAGGATAAATTTCAACCTTTGCAGCTCCGTGCTCAGCACCGGGCTCCTGATGGCATCAATTAGGCTTCTGCAGGCTTTCAGAATTCTCTTCCAGCTATGGTGGCGACGGTTGTAGTTTCTCTCTTGAGCTGCCTTCACATGGAATCTAGTTTTCCTTGGCAAATATCCCATGTTCCTGGCATCTCCAGTATTTTTGAGTCTACATTGCAACTTAGACTTCACCTAACTGTTTTACATAGTCGCCTCTTGGAGCCTCCTTGTAGGGAATTCAACCCAGTCCCACATTGCTTGGCCCCATTAGCTTTCTGGGGCTGTGGTGCAAACTTCAGTGACCTCATAACTCTTAGATTGTCCCAAAAACTTTTGTTTGTTTGTTTACTTGTTTATTTAGTGTGTGTGTGTGTGTGTGTGTGTGTGTGTGTGCGTGTGCGTGTGCGTGTGCGTGTGTGTGTGTGTGTGTGTGTGTGTGTGCGCTTGCACGTCAAAGGTTGTGTAAAATCAGAGGATAGCTTTTGGGAATTGATTCTATCCTTCCAACATGGTGAATCAAACTCAGCTTATCAGGCAAGTGTTCTTACCACTGAGCCATTTTACCAACCCAACTCTGATGGTGATGCCTGCAAAACAGTACTATATGGAACCCTGCTGCCTCCTGCCTTCAGCTCTAGATGTAGCTGTGCCTCATCTCTAATGGTGACAGAAGTCTCTGAGTGGCTGGATGGCTGAAACCTAGGAAAACACTGTCCTGGGCAGCCCTTGGAGGCCTTGTTCAGGCAGTCATCTTTTAAATGAAAGTTTTTCAAATAAGTTTGCACTGTTGTGCCCTGGAGCTTTTGAAGGTGGGGGTTTTAAACTCAGAGTACCTTTCTGTTGTCTTGGTGCACTATCCCTGGTTTCTCTGTAATGGTAATAATCTCTTTAACAATTAGAGTCATTTTACCTGGATTCATGCTCCTTTCTTTGAAATTGCCCATTTTTCACATCTCTTGGGTGATTCAGGTTCCAGACTCCTCCACATCCCTTCAGTGGTCTAGAAGGCTTGTGTACCACAGTGTTATTACAATAATGGCCTCATTTCTTGGTACCAATTTCTTTTAAAATATAATTATTATTGTATATGTGGGGTGGAGTGCCCGTGTGTGATGGCATGCTTGTGGATGCTAGAGGGCAACTTGTGGAATTGGTTCTGTGTAGCATGAATCTTAAAAATTCTTATTAATAAAATCAATACCACAGTTCTGGTCTAGTTTTATGTGGGTTCTGGGATTGAACCCATGTCATTAGGCTTTGAGGTAAGCATTTTTTTACCTGATAAGCCATTTCACTAGCCCATTGGTACCAATTTTCTGTATTGCTTTTCTGTTTCATTTTCTCTAGAAAACAGATATTCTTCCTTTTTTTCCTCTCCCTCTTTTCTTTTTGTTTTTTCCTCTTTTCTCCTCTTGTCTGTCTCTGTCTCTCTTTCTCTCTGTGTGTGTGTCTCTCTCGCTTTCTGCTTATATATGTGAATGTGCAGATGTGCATACCCATGCTTGTGTACATGGAGACCAGAGCAGGACTCTGCATGTCTTCCTTTATCTTTCTACATCTACTGCCCTGAAATAGACTGAGCTCTCAGGTTCCACTGTCTTGGACCCTGGTGCTGTGGTTACAGGCATGTGCAGCCAGTCTGGCTTTTCATGTAGATGCTGTGTAGGCCCTCCCTCACGCTTGTAGAATAAGCACCTTCTCTGTTTCCCCGGTCCTTGGTGTCCTTTTCATGTCACTGAAACCAAATCCTGGCAGGAGCAACTTAGGGGAAGAAAATTTACTCATGGTGGGGAAGGCATGGCCATAGGAATTGCTTGTATTTGTGGCAGTGTGAATGTGAGGCTCTTGATCACAAGTGGATGGACCAGGACTGAGAGGGAGAGAGGAAATACTGCTGCTCAGCTGGCTTTCTCCCCTCAGAGTGCCTTCACAAACTTAGAGTTGTGCTCACTGTGCCCTAGGGTGTCTAATCTAATCAGGTGGACAGAATCAGTCATCGGCTTCTACTCATTTTCTTCAGCTTGCTGTTACATTTTCCTTGTTTATCACATTTAACAGTCTTTTTTGTAATCATTCGGTGGGGCAAGCTTGGGGTGGGCCCAGAATTGTCCGAATATCAAATCTCATTAGATAGGAACCAGTTGGATTGAATTGGATCCAGTCAAGTTGCTCTGAGAACTATATGATGCTGCTGGGTGGAGCTTTATGAGAGAACAGAAGTCAGAGTGTGAACTCACTGCCACTTTTCTGTGCTCAGAACATTAACCAGGTCGTGTTTGTCGGCAATTTCCTGAGAGTCAACACAATCGCCATGCGGCTTCTGGCATATGCTCTGGATTACTGGTCTAAGGGGCAGCTGAAAGCACTGTTTTCAGAGCATGAGGTGAGTGACTTGTTTCCAGGGACTGTCTCATCAATAAAAGGACTGTATTCTAACTGTTCTAACTGTGCAGTGGTCTTGGGCTTTTACTGTTGTTTCTGAAAATTATTTCTTACCAAACGTAATGAGGTAGGTGTTCAGCTAGTTTAAGTTTAAGCAATTTTTTTGTTGTTGTTTGAAACAGGGCCTTCCTATGTAGCCATGGATGTCCTGGAAATTGCTATATAAATCAGGCTGGTTTGAACTTTTACAGTCTCCCTAACTTCTGCCTCCCAGTGCTGAGATTACGGGCATGAGCAGTTTAAGTGGTTTTAAAGAGAAAAAAAAATTTTTTTTTTTTTTTTGGTGGTGTCAGGTAAGACCCAGGGCTTTGTACTAGGTAGGCAAGGGTTTTGTCATTCAGCTATACCCTTAGGCCAAAGGAAGGTAATACTGATGGACATGCCCTGTGTTGCTAATGCACTAAACAAGCCATCTGTTCTGTTCTGCTTTTTCATGACATTTTTTTTTAAATGTCAAGTATCATTTACATATGTATGTATATTCTAGAAGTGAACAGATGATAATAAAAGCATTCCACACTGGAACCACACTATAATGAGAATGTAACACTGGCCAGGCCGTGGTGGCACACACCTTTAATTCCAGTACTCTTGGGAGGCAGAGCAGGTGAATCTTTTGAGTTCAAGACCTGCCGTTCTACAGAGTTCCAGGATAGCCAGGGCTATGCAGAGAAAGCCTGTCTTGAAAACAGAACCAAAACAAAACAAGAAAAACAACAACAACAACAACAACAACAACAAAAAAACATGACACACAGACGGTTAGAATCCTGGAAAGGAGTTGGGGTGTTCAACATGAACTCAAACTTGGGAAGTGCCTCTGCCTCTTCTTCCCTGTTTGGGGACAGTTGGACAGCAGCCCTGGATGGGTGCTTCTCTTCCTCCCTGTGGTGGGTTGGTAGTTGTTTTAGTTCATGTGTTGTTGGAGCTTAGATAGTAATGTGACCACAAACATTAGTGAGATTTTAATATGTGCATATTTAAATGTTTTATGACTTGATAAAAGTTCTTTAAAGTTATTTTAAAACTTGCTTACAGAAATCCGCCTGCCTCTGCCTCCCAAGTGCTGGGATTAAAGGTGTGCTACCACTGCCCAGCTAACAGTTTTTATTCTAATGTAAAGCAAAATAAAATAGGTCAAGTATCATAGAAATAGGAATATGGGAAGGATTATAAACTGTAAGAAACTTAACAGCAATTAGTACCAATTTACTAATATAATAACTTTATGAATTAAAAATGCCGAGCACAGTAGCACATGACTGTAATCTCAGCACTCAGAAAAGGAGGCAGGAATCATTGCAAGTTCAAGGGCAACCTAGTCTATACTTTGAGACTATGTCTCTGTTGTGAGTTCCAGGACAGCTAGAGCTGTTACACAGAAAAACTCTTGTCTCAAAAAAAAGTTTGTTTTATCTTAGTGTAATTTATCTCTTGTACAATTTCTACCAAAAGGTTGAACCTTTTGCTAGGTAAAACATGGAAATTAGTTTCATAGGATAATATCCCCTCCAGGCTAAACAATCTCTGGGCAGCAAATTTGAAACTTTGAGGGTTTTTTGATTAGATGTGGTACACAAGTAAGTCTATGCAGCTACTTTAAAGTCTGGAAGATTCCCAACCAGAACCGTGTCTGGTCCCAAGCCCTTTGGATAAGGGGATTCAGCCTGTAGCCACACCTTCACGGGATTCTGTTCTGCTGTTCTCGCTGCCTGCTCATTGTCCCTTCCACCAGCTTGGGCCGTTTGTTCTTGGCATCTTTGCTTACAGTCAGGCTTCGAACTTGCATGTTGATGCCTGTCCTTCATGATTTCAGCCCCTCTGGGTCCTGGGACATTTGTGTACCCTCTCATGACATGACAAAGCGGTTGCTTCAGCAGTTGTGGAGGTGTGGTGTGCTTTCTTCTCAAGCCTCCCCTTTCTTACTTAATTTCCGAAGTGCTAAATAGCCTACTGTGACCTTTTTCTTTTTTATTCTTTCTTTTTAAAAAAAATATTTTTATTTTATAATTAATTTAATTTTACATTATCAGTCACAGATTCTCCTGTCCTCCCTCCTCCCACCCCCCAACCTTCCCCCCCAATCCACCCCCATTCCCACCTCCTCCAAGGCAAGGTCTCCCCTGGGGGGGTCAGCCCAGCCTGGTACATTCAGTTGAGGCAGGTCTAGTCCCCTCCTCCCTGCACCAAGGCTGAGCAAAGTGTCCCTGCATAGGCCCTAGGTTCCAAGAAGCCAGCTCATGCACCAAGGACAGGTCCTGGTCCCACTGCCTGGGGGCCTCCCAAACAGTTCAAGCTAATCCATGTGTCTCACTTATCCAGAGGGCCTGGTCCAGTTCCATGGGGGCTCCTCAGCTATTGCTCCACAGTTCATGTGTTTCTACTAGTTTGGCTATTTATCCCTGTGCTTTTTCCAATCATGGTCTCAATATCTCTTGCTCATATAATCCCTCCTCTCTCTCACCGGTTGGACTTCTGGAGCTCCACCTGGGTTTAGCCGTGGATCTCTGCATTCGATTCCACCAGTCACTGGATGAGAGTTCTATCATGACAGGGTGTTCAGCCATCTGATCACCAGAGTAGGTCAGCTCAGGCACACTCTCGACCATTGCCAGTAGTCTATTGTGGAGGTATCTGTGGATTTCTGGATACCTCTCTAGCACTCTGCAGGCCGGGCAGTAGTGGCGCACGCCTTTAATCCCAGCACTCGGGAGGCAGAGCCAGGTGGATCTCTGTGAGTTCAAGGCCAGCCTGGTCTACACAATGAGTTCCAGGACCTTTTTCTTTACTTAGTAGTAGGTCTTGTGTTTTCCGTGGAACTCAGCATCATAGAACTTGGTTGTGTTGTCTGTCTTTCTTTAATTTGTTACTTTGTTCTTTCATTATAAAATAAATCTCAGACACAGGGAACCTACTTACTTAGAACCTGCATCATGTAGCGCTGAGTGTCCCTTGGGTTTGGAGTGATGGGGTCCTGACCGTTGCTGAGTCTGTCCCCACTTGGTTAAGTGGTTTGTTGCCTTCCTCCTTTTTTAAAGACTGAGAAATAGAGAGACAGGGACCTTTTTAGGTATAATATTTAGTGTGTTCTTTAGAATCCACCACCAGGACTTGAGGATTTTCCTGTTTCTCTTTCCATTTTTGTTGTTGTTTTGGGGTTTTAACCCTGGCTTTATGTTCTGGCCTGATGGCCTGCCACTGAGCCACAGCCCAATTCAGTTGTTTGTTCTGACAACTCTTTAATTTCTGACCTCCTGCTTGGAGACTGATGCAGTCTGTCCTTTGTGTGACTCTTCCGATTCCTGCTGCCATTCGCTTTCTGTTGTTGAGCGTTTTGTCTCATTTAATATTTTTTGTCCTTTGTTTTTTGGTTTTGTTTCAGGTTCCTGTCTGAGCCCACTCCTTACTGCTGGAGACAGTAGGGCATGTGCCTTCTTTTTTTTTTTTTAATTTTTATTTTTTTGAACTTGGTCTCCCTAAGTAGTGGGGCTGGTCTGAAGCTCTGCAGACCAGGTTATTGAACTCACCTTCCACCCTGATGCCCTCCTGTCCAGGCAGATTTGCACTCTTTCCACTTCCCCCTCCCTTTCAGACCACTCAGGGATTAAGCCTAAGTGTCTCTTCTCTCCTTCAGTCTTTGGCTGTTGGAAATGGACAAGCCTTTGCCCCAGGACTGGACAGCCACCATCTGTCTTCATTAGGGTTTTATTGCTTTGATAAACACTGTAACCAAAAGCAGCTTGGGAAGGAAAGTTTTATTTGGCTTACATATATCCCTGGTAACAATCCCTTGAGGGAAGCCAAGGCAGGGACTCAAACTAGGTGGGAACTTGGAGGCAGGAGCTGATGCAGAGGGCATGGAGGATGCTGCGTGTTGGCTTGCTCCTCATGCTTGCTCAGCCTGCTTTCTATGGAACCCAGGACCACCTGCCCACCCAGGGATAGCACTGCCCAAAAAACTAACCAGAACAAAATCCTTGCCAGATCTGAGCTTTATTTCTCTCAGCTGCCGTAGTGCCTACTATTCTTGTTGGGCATTTCCAGTATCCAGCCCTCCCTGAAGGGCGTTCCTTAGGGTTCTCCAGACTGCATGTGCTCTGTGCTCAGGGACCAAATGGGTCAGGAGTCAAAGGGACATGCTAGCTTTACTTAATATAGTAATTATACTTGTGGGAGTTAAAAATGACCTCATGCGGTTGGAGGGATGGCTCGGGCTGACAGTACACAGTGCTCTTGCAGAGGACCTAAATTTCATTCTCTGCACCAATGGTGGGTGGCTCACAACTGTCTAACTAACTCTAGCACCAGGGTACCTGACGCCTCTGGTTTCTGTGCACCTGTACTCACATGCACACTTCCCATACATATTTAGACATAATTTTAAAAATGATCTGACTTGTGGTCTATCATTTTTTCCAGGGTTATTTTGGAGCCGTTGGTGCACTCCTTGAGCTGTTGAAGATACCCTGACTGTTACCCAGAGGACTTCCTGAAACTTACCACAGGGGCATCTGTGGACTTCTGTATTTTTTTTCTTTTAAAGAGACTTATGTTTTATGATCGTGTATTACCCAAATCAGAGCAAGAAACAAATGTATTTTTCTAAGTCATCAAGATAAATTCTTAAAATTCTGTCTAACCTAGCAACCAGTAAGGAATTTTTTTCTTTTTCCCTGTCTAGACAGTATGAAGAGTTGCTGTTTATAAGCTGTTGTTCTTCAGGGTAGCACTCTTAACTCCAAGGTGCTTTGAACTCTCAGCATCACCCACTCACTGGGTATGCAAAGCAGAGCTGTCTGTATTCCTGCCAGCAGCTGACTGCTTGTCCTGCTGAAGTGTGTGCTAGAATCTAACCAGTCTCATCAGTATGCCCCTTGGAGGTATTAACATACTGACGATGGTTTATTTCAAGGTTCTGCAAACTTGGCAGGTTTGTTCCGCACCTCATGCTCAACAGGAATTTTGGAAGGGTACTTCCTATCCTTTACACTGTCAACCCTTAGGTGTGTGTGGTAAGACAAGACTCTGGTCGCATTCTCTTGGGTAGGTGATTAGGGACCTGATGGACATGGGTAAGAAATGCCAGATGGGCAGGAAGAGAGCTTATCCTTTTATACTGAGTGGCAGAGGAGGAACAATGTTTACCGAATAACTTATGGTCTTCAGCATGCTGGCATGTGGGGTACGTGTGGGGAGTTGACTCAGAAGATTGCTGAGATGGCCAGGCTGGGAGTCACTCTTGATAGGGGCTGGACCTTTCTTCTGTGCAGAATTAAGACGCTCTCCCTGCTTTCATACTGTGTACACTAAGAGCTGCACTGCAGCTGAAGGCAAGGAAGGGGCTGTCCACAGTAGCCTTGCAGCTGGAATGGAGACCTTAAACTCTGTCTAGGAATGTGTGTCTGCCATTCAGCTGTGGGTTCTGATGCCAGCTTTAGGGCAACAGAAGGCTCTTGTTGGTTTGGGCCATGGGAGCTCAGGGGATGGACTTGGCTGGCTAGTCTCCTTGACGGTTCCTAATTCCCATAGGGACAGCTGCCTTTTAACATGTGCTTTGGCCTATTGGACTTCTTGTGCCATTGGGCTGTTGCAGGGATGGCTGAGACTCCTCAAATCTGACTTTCCACCTACCATTAGTGCCAGGAAGTTTCTCCGCTTGTGCAGGGTTCTAGTTTTCCCTACCACCCCTTTGGGTGACTCCTGTGAAGTCACCACTGCCCTGGGGCTGGCTTACCAAGCACCTGAGCTGTGTTGTCTACACCTTGGCTATTTGACAGTTGTGGCCAGTGCTTTGTATTCGTTACTTCTGTCTTCTTACATTGAAGAGCAAGCCACGGTCACAAGGAAGGGGATGAATGGTACTGTTGTGTTGTGCACCCCTCACTACTTATGTCTCCTCTTCCCTCATTATGTTCAGCCCAGTGTCATTCCATGGAAGGGTTCTTTTATTTTGTGAGACAGTGTCTCCTGTAGTCCAAGGTAACCTCAAGCTTGCAATTCTGCAGTATAGCTGAGGCTGGCTTTGAACTGCTGATTTGATCCGGTTGCTTCCAGATCTGAAGTGCTGGGATTATAAATGTGCACCACTAGTACAACTCCAGTGTAAATACAAAGGGTGTTTGAGGGCCTCATCTTAGCCAGTTCTAACCTGCTTCCCTGGCAGCTGTCTCCTGATTGACTTACTCTGACAGTTCCACTCTCAAGTTCAACTGTGGGTCTCCCTAAGCTGTCTTCCTGTTGGTCCCAGTGTCGTCTGCAGAAATGTACCATTGCATCTCATGGCCACCTCTGACCTGTCAGCTGCACCCAGTGGCTGTTGGAAGCATCTTTTCTCTCATCTGTCTAGTTCCTTAGTTCCTTTGGTGGCCGAAAGTTCCATCTCACTCCTCCCACTTAGGTAGAAAGGAGGGTTTGTGACCATGGAGCACAGAGAAAGATGGGAGAAGGATGGCCTGTGTGAAGAGGAAATGTTTTGTGGGCCCCAGGGGCTGGATGTAGGAGGTAAGAGACAGGAGGTACTGAGGACACCTAGGTTTGATTTCAGAGTGCCTGGTTTTGAGAACCCCCAAAGCAAGAGAGGGCATTTGAATTAGAGACAAAGCAGAGGATGTGAATCTAGGTGGGAAAGTGAGGAGTCAGTGAACCCCCAGAGCATGAGAAAATGTGGAAATGGGCAGTGAAGGAGCAGGCTACAGGGAAAACAACCTGGGGTGAGGAGACCTGGGAACCAGAGAGCAAGGTGCTAAACAGGCACTTGACAGGAGGGACAGAAGGGTTACAAGGGTGCCTAGAGGTAGGTCCAGGATTCTGTGTGGCCTTGGTATAGGCATGGGCTCAAGCTGAGCACCAGGGAGCTGCTCACTGCCTTGTGAGTGTTAAGGGAGGAAACAGCCACTGTACAGGACGTTGAGGGTTAAGGTTGGGGCAAGTTCTAGAAGTGTTGTGGATTATCAAAGGACAAAGCTATACAACAAACCACCCCAAGTGCTGGTGGTTACAATAGGAGTAGATGGTGTGATCTGGCTTCTTGCTGTCACTGAGGCCTGATGCAGTTCCCCCCACCAGTGTGCCCCACCTTTTATCCCACACCAGAGGACTGGTCAGAGGTTGTCAGTCTATCAGTTTCATGCCTACCAATGCATAAGTTGACAAGCACATAATACAAAGTATTTCAAAATCTGCCCTTTATTTACAGTGTTTGGGTCAATTACATACATGCATGTTTTATTTTTAAACAAGTGATTAGCAAAAAATGCATTAAAGTTTTAAAATAGCAATTAAATATACAAAAATATAGCTTACAAAAAACCAATGTTTAAAAATATTCTGCTGCAGAATTCTTAGTGTACAAACAGTCTATGAAACCTGAGGTTCAGCATTTCATAAACCTTTTTTGAGGGAGTTATATCTAGGAAATGAGCCCCAAAGGGCTAAACTACAAGACTAAAGTGCCACTCTCCCACTTTCCTGGTCATGACTTGTCAAAAGACCCAGAGGCATCAGTTCCAGGCCATCACCAGGAAGATGCTCTGCTTCTCCACACCAGCCAGGCTGGAGTGGAGTGGGTGGTGCTGAAGTTTCAACTGCACAAGTCCCTTAACACTGGTGGGGCCATGTTCTTAGCCACATTGTGTCTTTGAAACAGCAGGGGTATTCTCCCTGACCCTGTGAACAAAGGAACTAAGAATGTGGATACTTGCTTGGTCTAACTAGAATCAAAGCATCTTGCAGCAATTTGGATTCTAAAGCTGAACTTGAAAACAGGCTGACAAGTGTTCAACTCAATTAGTGTACCCAAGTCCTGTTAATCTTATTTTAAAAAAAGTCTTTACCTGGCATTTCAGGTCCTCATCGCTAAGATTTAGTCAGATACTGTGATGCTTCCATTGTAGGTATTTTTTTTAAGGATTCATTTTTATGTGTATGAGTGTTTGCTTGCATGTATGTGTGTGTACCTGGTGCCCACAAATGCCAGAAAGAGATCTTCGGGAACTGAAGTTACAGATTGAAGTTGTGAGCCACCATGTGGGTGCTGGGAACTGAACCTGGACCCTCTGGAAGAGCGGCCAGTGCTCTTAGGCGATTAACCAGGCTACAGGTTGTGTGAAGTACCAGAAGGATAGGTCTCCTCTTTTCAAGGTTCATCTTGGGTGAGCACAGACACACTTTATTCACTGGGCTGCTGCTTGGGCTGCAGGGAAGCAGGTGAGTGGGCAAAGACTTTGGGTGGTGGATGCTGAAGAGCAAGGCACATGTCTGCTTTCCCCCTTAGGGTTGCCTGGAGGAGGCTGCTTTCATTTTTATGTTAGAAGAGGGCAGAAATGAACTTAGAAAGAAAGCAATTTCTGTTCATCAGAAAGTTGGCTGAGGGAGACTTCTGTAGGAAGCATTGCTTCTGTAGTGTCTCATTTGCAGACACTGAGATGTAATGACTCTTAGCCCGGGGACTTAGGAGACCTCTACCTGGATACCTGTTCTCCTAAGTGACCAGAGTGGTCCAGGCACCCGAGACTGTTTAGTGCTAAGGGGAAGACTGTCATCCTGGAGGGGGTACGTAGGGAAATCAGCTGTGCTGTTTCATTAGGGGTAAGGGATACAATCTACACAAAAGGAATGTGAATGCAAAAACAGCCTCCGCTTCTGGCTCACCTTTCATATAGATTCCTTAACTTGGGATGGCTCTCTGTATAAAGTCTCTCAACATGTATGTGTGTGTGTACCATGCACACACACCACACACCCCACCCCTGAAAGGAGACAAAAGGAACATTAATGAATTGAGTGCTCATGGCACAGAGTTTTGCAAGGAAGACAACTACTGTGATATGTGAGTTTTGTGGAGAATTACCTATTCAAGGACTCAAAGGAAGACTGAGCAACCAAGTCAAGATTCAGTGTGGAGGCTAGGCATGGTGCTCCACCTTTAACTGCAGCAGATGCAGAGGAAACTGATCTGATTTTGAGGTCAGCCTGGTTTACAGTTTCAGGACAACTGGGAGTACATAGAACCTGTCTCAAAGATTGCCCCATAGTTCAGGAAGTTCTTGAGTTTGTCACCAGGAAGGTATGTGCTATTGGCAGCTCCTGGTTCCCCCATGCCTGTGCCCACCAGACTGGACTGGCATGTCTTCAAGGAACCCTGCTACAATTTCTGGATGGTGGCTAAGGAAAGGAGGCTCTTGAGAGGCTGACCTGAAGAAAAGCACAAAGCAAGTGAGCAGTGAGTGGACAATTCAAACTAGTGCAAGCCCTTCTGCATAGATCTCCCTGGAACCCTCTATGGACATCTCAAATTCCCAGAAAATAAGTGCTGGAGGTGTTCAGCACAGCTGTTTGAAGTCAGATAGCATGCTTTGGAACACAGCCATGGAAAAGATCTTTTGTCAAGTCTTGTCAAGAACAGTATTTGGCAATGGTGGGAGGGCCCCTGTATTCCTCAGTATAAACCTCACCCAGAGGCCATCTGTCCTACCTGGCTGTTTTGTCCTGCTTCCTGGTTAGGTAAGCACATGCTACAAGAACCTTAATGGTCAGAGATAGGCCAAACTAAATTACATTTGGCAAAGCAAAACAGATGTCAACTTCTCCTAAGTTAGAGTGACTCAAGTAGGAATCTGGTTATGGTAGGTTTTGTTTCATTTCC